CCCTACGACTCCCAGGCGCTGTCCACTCAGCCGGGAGGATTGAACTAAGCCCCCCACCACACACACACACACACACACACACACACACACACACACACACACACACACACACACACACACACACCCACACACACACACACACACACACACACACACACACACACACACACCTACAGGTGTAGAAAGAACTTTTTTTAGTGTCAGAGTGGTTGACAAATGGAATGCATTAGGAAGTGATGTGGTGGAGGCTGACTCCATACACAGTTGCAAGTGTAGATATGATAGAGCCCAGTAGGCTCAGGAACCTGTACACCAGTTGATTGACGGTTGAGAGGCGGGACCAAAGAGCCAGAGCTCAATCCCCACAAGCACAACTAGGTGAGTACACATACGTAGTGTGTGTGTGTGTGTGTGTGTGTGTGTGTGTGTGTGTGTGTGTGTGTGTGTGTGTGTGTGTGTGTGTGTGTGTGTGTATAGGTCCGCTGGTGACCTCACGCCTCCAAGAGTGAAGAAATACGTGCACGCGGCGCCACCACCAGCTGTGGACGACACTCACCCACCTCTAAAACCCTCCTCACTCTCTCCCTCCCTCCCCCCCCCCCCCCCCCCACACACACACACCAATGTTCTCTCTCAAAAATGATTGTGTTTACTTTTATAGCGCATATATTATAGCCGCTACCACTTTTTATGGGTACGGGGGCGGCAATTGTCTGAAGATTGAGGAACCGTTTATAGTATTTCAGATGCGTTTTGATCTACACTCACTCCCACAGACAGCGGCTCCTCTTCGACAACATTTCGCGCCGTTCCTTGCCGCCAGGTCGTAAGAATCGCTTGGAAATGCGCCCAAAGAATATCGTTTGGGAGTGTCGTTCTTCGCTGCGAAATTAGACAGTTGAGAGATGATAAAATCTTGTTCCTTCAGGATGTAATTTGTAATTATTTGCGTTCCAATGACGTTTTTACGGCACGGACGTTTGGCCGAGTGATCGTAAGGAGATTGGCAGCGTCTGGTGTTGGGTCTGTCTGTGTTTAATCTTACGGGTCCTTGTAAGTGCGTGTTAATCTTACGGGTCCTTGTAAGTGCGTGTTAATCTTACGGGTCCTTGTAAGTGCGTGTTAATCTTACGGGTCCTTGTAAGTGCGTGTTAATCTTACGGTTCCTTGAAAGTATGTATGTTACTCTTACGCATTTTTGTTGGTATATGTCTTAGTTATACGCTACTCTGTGTGTGTGTGTACTCACCTAGTTGTGTTTGCGGGGGCTGAGCTCTGGCTCTTTGGTCCCGCCTCTCAGCTGTCAATCAACTGGTGTACAGATTCCTGAGCCTACTGGGCTCTGTCATATCTACACTTGAAACTGTGTATGGAGTCAGCCTCCACCACATCACTGCCTAATGCATTCCATTTCTCAACTACTCTGACACTGAAAAAGTTCTTTCTAAAGTCCCTGTGCCTCATTTGGGTACTCAGTCTCCAGCTGTGTCCTCTTGTTCGCATACCACCCGTGTTAAACAGTTTGTCTTTATCTACCCGGTCAAATCCTCTGAGAATTATGTAGGTAGTGATCATATCTCCCTGAGCTCTCCTGTCTTGCGGCAACGTAGGGTGCATTTCACGCAACCTTTCCTGTGTGTGTGTGTGTGTGTGTGTGTGTGTGTGTGTGTGTGTGTGTGTGTGTGTGTGTGTGTGTGTGTGGGCGCGCGCGCGCGCGTGCATATGAGCACGTGTGTGGGAGTGGGTGTGTGTGTATTCACCTAGTTGTGCTTGCGCGGGTTGAGCTCTGTTCAGCCCGCCTCTCAACTGTCAATCAATCAACTGTTTCTAACTACTAATTTTATTTTTTACACACACACACACACACACACACACACACACACACACACACACACACACACACACACACACACACACACACACACACACAGGGAGCAGCCCGTAGCAGCTGTAACTCCCTGGTACCCATTTACTGATAAGTGAACAGGAGCAGGTGAAGGAAACTGCCTGTTTCTTTTCCGCCGGCGCCGGGGATCGAACCCCGGTCCCTAGGTCCACTAGTCTAGAGCGCTGTCACTCTGCCACCAGCCCCTTTGTGTGTGCGTGTGTGAAGAGGTTGTTGAGCTGCAGCTCTCCATAGACTAACTAGGAAACACTTCCGAGCTTTGTCCTATCTATATTTGAATTTGTGAATAAAACTTAGTTGCTTCCACTACATCCCCGTAGTGTCTGCTTCCCGCCCCGCCCCACCCCGCCCCACCCCGCCCCGCCCCGTCTCTGTCCCCGTCCCCGCCGCTCCCCGCCCAGCCCCCCCAGTGCCCAGACATCGGGGGGAGGGGGCGGGAGCACCGCGCGAGGCGAGCATTTTACGATAATTTAAACGCCCCGTAATGACTGGCTGACAAGGCTACGTGATCGTCCAGGATCATTGGTGAGAAATAATTACCTGGTTTGTTGATGTGTTGCTTATGCTGGCACAGGTGTGGGGGACCCCACCTGCTGGTGTGGGGGACCCCACCTGCTGGTGCAGGTGTGGGGGGACCCCACCTGCTGGCACAGGTGTGGGGGACCCCACCTGCTGGTGTGGGGGGACCCCACCTCCATATCCTCATATCCCAGTTCTTTGTTTTCATATTCTTTCTAAGTGTCGTATCGTCATACTGGCTTTGTAATTTCTCGTATAACTACCTTACTACTTAATTGTATGTAATTGTCTCCTTTATACATTATTTATTAAAGGTTATAGTGTGTGGGTGTGGGTGTGTGTGTGTGTGTGTGTGTGTGTGTGTACTCACTTAGTTGTACTTGCCGGGGTTGAGCTCTGGCTCTTTGGTCCTGCCTCTCAACTGTCAATCAACTGATGTACAGATTCCAACCCGTTCTCGCAAATTCGTAAAGTCAATATTGACTTATTAACTACGTGCATAGGTGATATACTAAACATAATAGATACCCCTAAAAAGATTCATAGAAAACACCGACCTTACCTAACCTTGTTAGTATCTTAAGATAAGCATCTTATTGCTTCGTAATTACAATTATTACTTAACCTATACCTATTATAGGTTAGGTAATAATTGTAATTACGAAGCAATAAGATGCTTATCTTAAGATACTAACAAGGTTAGGTAAGGTCGGTGTTTTCTATGAATCTTTTTAAGGGTATCTATTATGTTAAGTATGTCACCTATGCACATATTTAATAAGTCAATATTGACTTATTAAATTTGCGAGAACGGGTTGACAGATTCTTGAGCCTACTGGGCTCTATCAAATCAACATTTGAAACTGTGTATGGAGTCAGCCTCCACCACATCACTGCTTAATGCATTCCATTTACTAACTACACTGACACTGAAAAAATCCTTTCTAACGTCTCTGTGGCTCATCTGGGTACTAAGTTTCCACCTGTGTCCCCTTGTTCGTGTCCCACCAGTGCTGAAGAGTTTGTCTTTGTCCACCCTGTCAATTCTCCTAAGAATTTTGTAGGTGGTTATCATTGTTAAATTAATTTTCGCGTTCTGAAGTCAAAGTTAATTTCTATAAGCTCAAATAACGATGAAAGTATAAGTGTTTGAGCCCACTTCAGCTGCCTGGGAAAGTTTGTGGCAATTGGTCGTTCCAGCTGTGAAGAGTAACGTTCGGACGTTCCAGCTGTGAAGAGTAACGTTCGGACGTTCCAGCTGTGAAGAGTAACGTTCGGACGTTCCAGCTGTGAAGAGTAACGTTCGGACGTTCCAGCTGTGAAGAGTAACGTTCGGACGTTCCAGCTGTAAAGAGTAACGTTCGGACGTACCAGCTGCGTAGCGATTATTCCTTCAGCGTGTCTAATGTCCAGCTGTTGTAGAAACACGTCACGTGATGCCGTGTTGAGTTGTAGGTGGTTGTTGTAGGGTTTTTTTTTGTTAGTGGCTTGTGATTGACATTTTTTAACTTGCAGATCGTCCTTGTCGGCTGAGTGGCGACTTGTAATGTTGTGGCGTAGGTTGTGGGTTGACTGGGGCGTTACTTGGACATATGAGAGAGTGGGGGTGGGTGGTTGTAGTTATGACAAGCGAGTTGTAAAAGGGTGTGTGTGTGTGTGTGTGTGTGTGTGTGTGTGTGTGTGTGTGTGTGTGTGTGTGTGTGTGTGTGTGTGTGTGTGTGTGTGTGATGAGTTATGGTTCGAGTGCAGAGACTGTGTGTACGTGTTGTAGAAGTGTGGTTGTAGATAGTTGTTGGTGGATAGTTAATAGTGGGACACTGAGTTGTACTTTGTAGAGGTTGTGAGTGGTAGCCAGGAGAGGAGTTGTGTGCTAGGTGTGGGTGGTAGTGGAGGTTTAACTGGTGGTAGAGGTGGTAGTAGTGGTGGTGGAGCAACCAGTCTTTTAAAAATAACGTCGCTTTTCGCCCGTATGCGCGCTACGGCCAAAAATGAACGTAATTTTAAATGAAATCGGCTCACAAAAGTGATGTACTGTCCCGTTTTCTGTTTGAGTCGCCTGGCTTACTCGGAAAGGTTAGGAGAGGAAACTTTCAAATAACATTTTTCATGACGTTTTGAAACTTAAGGAGAATTTCCTGCCCACCTAACCTATCAAAGGACCATTTTCTTACTGTTTTGGGTAAAAAAAAATCCAAAATTTATTTTTCATTTTTTCATTTTGAAATTACGTATATTATCGGCCATACGGGCAAACGGCCAAAAGCGACGTAGTTTTTAAGAGGACAGGTTGTCGAAGGTGGTAGTAGTGGTAGTAGAGGTAGTGGTGGTAGTGGTGGTAGTAGTGGTGGTAGTAGTGGTGGTAGTGGAGGTGGTAGTGGAGGTGGTAATGGTGGTAGTAGTGGTGGTGGAGGTGGTAGTGGTGGTGGTAGTGGTGGAAGTAGAGGTGATAGTAGTGGTGGTGGAGGTGGTAGTGGTGGTAGTAGAGATGGTAGTAGTGGTGGTAGTAGTGGTGGTGGAGGTGGTAGTGGTGGTAGCAGAGGTGGTAGTAGTGGTGGTGGTAGTGGTGGTAGTTGAGGTGGTAGTAGTGGTGGTAGTGGAGATAGTAGAGGTGGTAGTAGTGGTGGTAGTAGTTGTGGTAGTGGTATCACTGACCGGCGTACATTCTCCCTCTGCTCCTCAGGCCAGCACCAGTTCCGAGCCTTCGCATTGGGACAGCGGCCGTTCCTCGACACCCGCTTCAGCGACCATCTCCGAGAACTCGAACTGAGACGGAAGAGCGACTCAATACCTCCCAGTATAGCCTTCAAAGTTCCTCACTCAGGCCCTGCCACACAAGGTATGCCTCCACCCCCCCACATTCCACACGCTCTCCTACCCTCACTCCACCTGCTCCCACCCACTCTACCCATCTATCCCACCGTATAACGCACTCTACTTCTGCCTTTTGACGCAACTGTTCCTACAAAATTGATTGAAAACCCTCCCAAAAAACACCTTCTGGCTCTCCCTTAGTCTTTGTATAGTGTGACAAAGAAGAGTTCCTCTGCTTCCAGTGTTCGCTCCGCACTTTCCCGCCACCAGTAGCTTGCTGCTGCTGCTGTAGCGGGTGTGGCCAGCGGCCCTCGATGTGGAATTTGTTCGGGGTACAGTTTCCATGCGGCGCGAGGAGAAATGGTCGCCCGTAGTGTCAGGGGGGTGATCATTTCCCCACATGCTTACACCTCTACCCCCGTCCAGAGGGTATCAGTCTCGTTGAGAGTAACCGGAGTTATCGTTCTACACGATGTGGTGAAGGTGGTGTTGTGGTCGCTCGTGCGCGCGTGTGTACTCATCTATTTGTGCCTGCAGGATCGAGCATTGACTCTTGGATCCCGCCTTTCGAGCCATCGGTTATTTACAGCAATGACTCCGGTTCCATTTCTCTATCATATCTAGTTTTAAAATTATGAATAGAGTTTGCTTCCACAACCTGCTCCTTAAGTGCATTTCATTTTTCCACTACTCTCACGCCGCTAAACAAATACTTCCTAACATCTCTGAGAGTCATCTGAGTTTCCAGCTTCCACCCATGTCCCCTCGTTCTGTTACTATTCCGTGTGAACATTTCATCTATTTCCACTCTTTCAATTCCCCTGAGTATTTTATACGTTCCTATCATGTCCCCCCTTCCTTCAGGCGCTCTTTATACCCAATCCTTCGTAACCCTGGGACGAGCCTCATTTCAAACGTCTGAATCTTTTCCAGTTTCCTTATGTGTTTCTTCAGGTGGGGCTCCATGATGGCGCGGCATACTCTTAAGACTGGGCTCACGTAGGCAGTGTAAAGCGCCCTAAATGCCTCTTACTTAGGTTTCTGAATGATGTCCTAACTTTTGCCAGTGTAGAGTACGCTGCTGTCGATATCCTATTTATATGTGCTTGAGGAGTTAGATTAGGTGTTACGTCCACTCCCAGGTCTCTTTCTCGCGTCGTCACAGGCAGGCAGTTCCCCTTCATTGTGTACTGTCCCTTTGGTCTCCTATCTCCTAGTCCCATTTCCATAACTTTACATTTGCTCGTGTTGAACTCCAGTAGCCATTTCTCTGGCCACCTCTGTAACCTGTTCAGGTCCTCTTGGAGGATCCTACAATCCTCATCTGTCACAACTCTTCACACACAACTATGTGTGTGTGTGTGTGTACTCACCTAGTTGTGCTTGCGGGGGTTGAGCTCTGGCTCTTTGGTCCCGCCTCTCAACCGTCAATCAGCAGGTCGGCTCAGGTGTACAGGTTCCTGTGTGTGTGTGTGTGTGTGTGTGTGTGTGTGTGTGTGTGTGTGTGTGTGTGTGTGTGTATGTGTGTGTGCGTGTGTGTGTGTGTGTGTGTGTGTGTGTGTGTGTGTGTGTGTGTGTGTGTGTGTGTGTGTGTGTGTGTGTGTGTGTGTGTGTGTGTGTGTGTGTGTGTGTGTGTGTGTGTGTGTCACCATTAACGGATGAGTGTCTTTATATATAGGTCCAGTGGCCGTGTTTTCGAGGGCTTCAGTTATTCACTAAATGTGAACAAAGGTGAGTATAAGGAAGGGGTGGTTGAGGGTAGTATGTTGATGTAGTTGTTCCGCTGTTGTCGCCCCCTACTATCTCCACCCCTCTACCCCCCCCCCCCCCTAATATAACTATCACCCACTAATACCACAACACACTATCTCCATCCGCTAATATAACCACCACTATCAACTCCCCACTACGAGCACCACCCACAACAACCAGTCTCTGACCACCAAAGTAACCACTATAACCACCACTACTACTAACAATAACAACAGTATTACTACAACAACAATCCCCCCAACTAATTCTTTAAATGACATGTTTATTTACATTCATTAGTTCCCGAGTCATCTTCGTTAATGGTAGTTATGTAGTGTTGGAGAAGGTAAACGAGGCGGTAGTAACGATGTGAGGTCCGCGGACCACAGATGGCGCCACTGGTCTTAACTGGACCATACATCCTCCCCCCTCCCCCCACTGGACCACACAGTCCCCACTGGATCACACAGCCCCCACTGGACCACACAGCCCCCCCACTGAACCACACAGCCCCCCACTGGACCACACAGCCCCCCACTGAACCACACAGCCCCCCACTGGACCACACAGCCCCCCCCACTTGGCCACACAGCCCCCCACTGGTCCCCACAGCCCCCCACTGGACCACACAGCCCCCCACTGGACCACACAGCCCCCCACTGGACCACACAGCCCCACACTGGACCACACAGCCCCCCACTGGATCACACAGCCCCCCACTGGACCACACAGCCCTACACTGGACCACACAGCCCCCCACTGGACCACACAGCCCCCCTACTAGACCACACAGCCCCCCACTGGACCACACAGCACCCCCACTGGACCACACAGCCCCCCCACTGGACCACACAGCCTCCCACTGGACCACACAGCCCCCCACTGGACCACACAGCCCCCCAACTGGACCACACAACCCCCTACTGGACCACACAGCCCCCCACTGGACCACACAGCCTCCCACTGGACCACACAGCCCCCCACTGGACCACACAGCCCCCCACTGGACCACACAGTCCCCATTGGACCACACAGCTTCCCCACTGGACCACACAGCCCCCCACTGGACCACACAGCCCCCAACTGGACCACACAGCCCCCAACTGGACCACACAGCCCCCCACTGGACCACACAGCCCCCCACTGGACCACACAGCACCCCCTTCCAAGCTGCGCACATTTCCTGCCATCTTGCATCTTGCATTCACATTCTCTTCAGTGTTGTAAACAAGATGAAGCTACCAGGGCAATATGAGATTTTTAAGCAAACGTTTGAATTAGTTTCTGCTCAACCACTTGGAATGGGACGGTATAGCAACGGTCTCGCTTGTAGGTGGGTGATCAATCACTGAGTGTCGAAGTGGTTGGGCACCATTCCACTCAGACACCAGGGTGGTGAGGTAGTCGAGGCTAATTCCGTGCGCAGTTTCACCAGTATGAAAAGAAACGTGAGGGGGCCGGGAGCCATTGATATAGATGACCTGAGGCAAAGGCTGGGACCAGCCGCTGAAGCTCCCCCCCCCTTGCAAGCATATACAGATTAATAATTGTTATTGAGTAAATACACACTACACATAAACACATTACACACACTACACACACACACACACTACACACACACACACACACTACACACACACACACACACACACACACACACATTACACACACTACACACACACACACACACACACACACACACACTACACACTACACACTACACACCTGAACACATTTGCGTGTGATCACACGTGCACTGGGAGCCACAGTCACAGCTGCCTCACCACACTCCCCCTCCGGACGACTGGCCATTACGATCTGGGTCGAGTTAATTGCCTGTTGTGGCGTCGGAAATAAAAATGTAGGCATTTCGCTGTGTATCGTAGAGGAGGCGAGAGTGTCTGGCGTTTTCCCCATGAGGTAATGAAAGTGGTAATGACTTGGGAGTCTTCCCAGGCGAGCTAGATGCAATTATGATGTGAGGGGAGGTGGGGGGAGGGGAGAGGGGTTGGGGGTGTGATAGCAGCCATCACTGCCATCTGGCGGCCGACCTTAAGTCGCCATTACCCGCCGCTGGGCGCCGGCGCCAACACCGTCTCCTCTGAATACGTCATATACAACACGATTTCCTATTTTTTTTTACACCAATCTAACCCAACCGAGCGTATCTCAGCCTAAGGTAATACATCACAACCTAGAGAGAGAGAGAGAGAGAGATATACGTTTTTGACAATCAGAAAAAGTTTCTTGTCTGTCTTGTGTACGATTTATCCATACCCCGTGTTCTGTAGGGGCGGACACCTGCCCTAGTGTGTGTGTACTTGGGTGGACTCTTCGGAAAGAAGACGAGGGAGATGTCACATAATATACACTGTGAGGATCATTTGAAGTCCGTAATTTATACAAGAAATGTCAGAAGTTACTGGACTTTTCTGGTTAGAAAAGTCCCACATTACAACATTCTTCCAGCAAATATACAAATGCTCTGCTCAATCAAAATGTTTGATCAGACAGACATTTTGATGGCAGTGTGGTCCTGCTGGTCTCCACCAGCAACGGCCTAACCTGTTAAGTCATCGCCAGAAATGCCTAGTCGTGCGTTGGGCTGCGGGTGTAGAAAAACTCTCGAAACCTGCTACCGGTAAATCCTCCTCACCCCTAAGTCCTCTTCCTCTCCACTAAGCCCACCTGCTCCTCTCGGATAGCCCTCTCCACAGCTTACCCCCCCCCCCTGACCTACCCTCTCCCAGAGCCCTTTTCTTCCCCCTCAGTCCTCCCACATCCCCCCCCCCTCCAAACAACCAACTTCCACTCACAACGTAATAACCAAGACAATAACAACTGAATCTGGCTGCCACTGAACCCCGCCAGGAAATAATTGACTTGTCGAGCATCTGACGTGGTTACCTCGCCCCGCGGAGCACGCCACTGTCAGGGCGCTCTCGCAACACTGAATACATACGGATTACTGCCCCTTGCTAGTAGCCACCTGCCTGGCCAGTAACCCCAGCTTGCAGTAGCCACTTGCCTGGCCAGTAACCCCAGCTTGCAGTAGCCAGCTGCCTGGCCAGTAACCCCAGCTTGCAGTAGCCCGCTTCCTAGCACAGGGAGGGGCTGCTAGGGTCCGGAGGGGAAGGACGGTCCTCAGAGCTAGTGGGGGAGTGGCTTAAAAGTATAGGTGAAGGTTAAAATTAATGCAAGGTTACCAGTAATATTTCACATGAAGGACCAGTGCCAGGATTCGCCAGCATTTACGTGTCAACGTTGGCAACC